GACTCCGATCGAAATTTTATAAACTCCGCCGGGATAGAAAAATGAGGAAACTGGCGAGCAGGTGTTGCTGAAATTTTGATTATTCGTTGCTCAGGTCGCAAACGGATGAAACGGGAGCGTCGATGGATAATTTTTGACAATTTTTCTTTCTCAATGCATACAATGTTTTGTTCTTTTCCCATTTGATTTCTGTCCAATCTTTTTTTTTTTTTTTAACAAAAACGTTCGTTACAAAACGGATGAAATATATTTGCGGAATCTTGTGAAAAGAATTTAGTTAAAATTTTGTAGACGTTTATCAAAGAGTTTGTAAAGCGAACTTTTCTTCCAACTACTAGAACACAGATGTCAGTCGAAGAATTTGGCATGTATGTATGTATGATCACGAATTATACTCGGAATTCTTTCTTGAATAATATTCTTGTCCCAAGGTAAAAATCATCTCAAAGCGATCGGAGTTTCGACGCGTGCGAATCGTGATTGCAGGGAAATGCGAGTTGCGAGTTTGGCTGCAGTGGAATCCAATCGTTTGGACGTGGTCGCGATTTGCCTGGAAAATTGCAAGTAGCAAGACAATGTACGGCGATGCAACAATGGATCCGCAAGTAGCACGAAAGAAGGAGGCTCGTGACAAGGGATGACAATGATGGCGATGCCGAAGATGCTTGTAGACGTGGATTAATAAAGGAAGGCCAAGCCGGGGGAACAATTAGATCGAGTTAACGGCCAACTTTAATCTTCTGTCGTCCGTCAGTCGTTTACTGCGTAGCGATCTGCCGCTATTAAAGCCGTTACACACTTTACCGTTTTCAAACCCCTTCCCCCGTCCTGCCTGCCCGACGAATCGAAAGAAACTACGACTTTTGATGGCAGGCCGCCGTCAATGGGCCCCAAGTGACAGGAAGATGTGGGTTTTCAAAAACGGATCTTTCATCCTCCGTGTCACTACCTATTCGAATCTATTATCAGGCTGGTAGCAAGATCCCTGTAGTGAAGAATGTAGTCTTGGAAGAAGCGAAAAAGAAGAAGAAAAAGATAGAGAGAGAAACGTATCGCGAGGGTATCTGAACATCGATTAAAATCTCCGACTATCAGATGAAAGACGCGAATGAAGAATGGTTCAGATTGTAAGAAATAAATCACCGAAGCTGCTCGACGGCCGTGTTAACGATGCATCATGCTCGGCCACCGGATGATTTTCAACACGGTGCTCTGATCTTGCCGATCGATCACACCTGTCTCCGTTTGAGCAAAGAAATTTTTGTAATTAAAGACGCGTTCATCCACGGAACGTCTGACTCTGGCCGCCTTATCTACTTCGAGCGTGATCAAAATACAATACGAGTGAATTACCACCGTGAATGTCCACAATATACTAAGTAACATTTCATTCTCACTTTTCCTTTTTCTTTTCATAGATCACTCGCTCATTCTTAGAGAAACAGAACCGACTCGTAGACGATTTCTCGATTTTGAAATGTAAAGAGCAAACTGAACGGTTTGAGCAATCTCTTCGGTTTCAAGGAGGCAGAGAGAACTGCTAGCTGAACGACTCGGACGACTCGTCCCGAAGATTATCTAGGTGGACGCAACGTAATGAATGGCCACGTGCACCAAGGAGTCGGAAGAGAGGAGACGAGAGCTATATCCACGAGCGTTTAACATGACAAGATGTTACTAATTCAGGGTAGGTAGAACTGAGACGCCGACCGGCGTACGAGTACAAAGGGGCCGACGGTCCGAATCCCTGTACTGCGCCTCTAATCTGCTCCAATTGGGACGGCAGGAGTTAGAAGGGCCGATGTCCCTCCGCGGTATGACGCGTGCTACCATTTATCCCAATCATCGGACGACCGGTCGTTCTTAACGATCGACAAATAAAAACTACTCGTCATCCGGGCTGGACGGGAGGAAGCTGGACGGGGCAACAGGCCGCCCATCTACACCTTCATCGGCGCAGCTCGAAGCTCTTTGACGCATTAAAACGTCGTTAGATCGAGCGAATTTTTCATTTCCTGACCCACTGATGCACACGCCCACTCTTTTCTTCTACGAGTATCTACATGAAATATACCTTGTTCCTTCGTCCAAGGTACGTTTCGTACGTATCGCGTTATTACAGAATATGATACATCCCCTCGCGAAGCGACGAATCTTCGCTGTTTCTTCAGACTATTTCAGAATATTTCTAAACCGTCTGTTTCTACGTGCAGAGAGAAATAAAATAAAATACAATAAAGTGTTCTCCACCTCGTTTGAAAAAAAATTTCTCGATAAAACCTCGATAAACCTCTTGCGTCGTTCTACACAATTAATTCGAAAACAGATCAAGACGCATTTTTTTTAATCCGAAAACCAATGACTAAGTCACTCGCATCGTGACACGAATTGCGAAACCAAGAAGCTTCGAATATCTTATCTCTTATCTGATACAACAGCGATACGCGCTAATTATCCGAAAATTGGCCAGGTAGCGTTCACGCGTAGCTCTTTAATCGCCGGTTAAATTAAATTAACGAAGTTCCAATTGCCCTCGAAACGATCGAATGAGATTGCACGTGTTACCTGAATGACTTTTCGGCAAGGCGGGTAGGTTCGTGACCTCCGTAGCGTTCTCGAAGGGAGCCCACAGTCTGGGGAACATTAAACGAACGTTGCATCCTCCTGAAAGCAGAAAGAGAACCGGCCGTGAAATACAACGAACACCCACGTGAATAAAACGTGAAGTTCAGCTCAATGTTACGTGAAATCCTCGCGAAAATATGTAAAAACGCAGTGAAGGAGGAGGAGGAGGAGGAGGAGGAGAGAAGAACAGAAAAGAGAGGACGGAACCATATTTTCGAATCGTTCATGCGTCATTATCCGCGTCGCCGGAGCAGCCGCTAACAGCGAACCGACGTCTTCACCACTGACAAATTTCGTATTCCCTGCCCGTACGAAAGATCAACCCCTCTACAAGAGCGTCTTTATTAGAAAGGAGGGAGACCCTTCTCTATTTATCAACCTTGCCCCGGCCATTATTCGCTCTCTTTTCTCCGTGGCTGCATTCCTATCCGCGAACGTCCGCCATTCGTTTCCCCTCCTCTCCCCGGGCGCCTCTCGGCCTCTTTTTGATCGACACCGGTAGCGCGCTGGAATTCGAACTTTGCTCCGTTCACTGCAATCTCGCGTTATCGACTGCACATATCCGTATACCCGGGATCGAATCAGAGTGACGCGACGATCTGAAATTCACCATTCGCCGCCTGCTTGTATCCGTAAGCGCGAGCACTTCGATCGAAAAAGAAGCGTACAATTAGCTCGGAGATAATGGTGGAAACTCGGGCGAGAGACGCGCGATTAGTTGCCAATCGGGCAATCAGCCAGCTTATCGAAATCGGATTCCCGTTTCTTGGAAACGGGTGGGCTTCCTTGGCTGAAGGAGAACGGTCAGAGATCGATGCGTCGTCGACAATATTACACGCACCGTATCGAGGAAGAAAAATAAAAAGAAACGAAAAGAAAAGAAGAAAAAAAAAAAA